TCAGATATAACACTTGTGCCTTTAACCAACTAAATAAGTTTGGTGGTGCCTCTGAAGTGTCCTCTCAACTGTGTTTTTAGATTAATAAAAATGAAATATTTAGCATGTTTGCTCATTAATAGAGGGAAAAAGACCATTGTAAGATCCAGAAATGAAGATTTTAAGGGCACCCTACGCAAACTATCTAGTCATCAGTCTTTAAGCAGTCTCTGGCCTTGGAATAAGGAATCTGTTCCCAGATTCAAAATAACTAATTTTGAGATATTTTATTTTTCAAAATGTTTCGTTATTTTTTGTTTATGTTCTCTTTAAAATGTTTACTACATGGGAATGCATAAATTCCTTCTTTTATAAAACATTTTAAAGACATAGAACTGAATCAGTGATTTATCTAGCCTTAAATCAAATGCTACTATAATGTGAACTTTATTTGAATTAAGTTATGATTTCACTTAGATCAGAAGGGAGAATTTTTCCTCCCGTGCAAAAATACATTATTGGGGATTTATTTATAAATACCTGTCCAGAGAGTCACCAGCACAAACGATAAATGAAAGGAATGAATTAAGTTGATATTTCAGGTTAATACTGCAGCCCCTTTTGGAAACTCATTAACAACTAGAGTATTTTTATTTTCCAAAATTAGTTGAAGTAGAGTCATGGAAAGGCAAAGGAAGATTTATTTCAGCTTCAAGATCATTTGCGTGAATATATTTATAAAATGGGAAAATATCCTTCCTTACCGTATTATTTATAAATTATTAAANTGAATATATTTATAAAATGGGAAAATATCCTTCCTTACCGTATTATTTATAAATTATTAAAATTAACTGATCAGTATTTAATGTATATGTAAACAAACCGACCGTACTTTTAGATGCCCTAATTTAGCTAAAAGCAACAGCTTATCCATTTTTTGTATTTCCCTTTAACAGAAAACATAAATAATTATTTTGAGAAAATAAAGATATTTTGAATTACTACCGATTGCGCATCCCTAATCCAAAAATCTAAAATGCTTTAAAATCTGAAACTTTTTGAGTGCTGACATGATGTTTAAATGAAATGCTCGTTGGCACATTTTGGATTTTTGGGTTATGGATGCTAAACTGGTAAGTATCTGCAAATATTCCAAAATCTGAAAAAAAATTCAAAATTTTAATCACTTCTGGTCCCAAGCATTTCAGATAAGGGAAACTCAACCTGTTTTATCTTATTCCAGCATTAAAGTTTTCTAAGGTGGTTGGTATACAAGTGCCATTTGGGTTAGATTGGAAAGGTTTTATTGCAGTATGTGTTTTTAGTAGAGTTTGGTCTTGAAAGATGGCAGAAACATCTATTAGTAGAAACAAGGTTGTAGTAAAAGTCAGACATGTTTATGACCTCAAAACATTTCAATTAGGAGGAGTAGATTATCCCTAAAA